ATAGAATAGAATAGAATAGAATAGAATAGAATAGAATAGAATAGAATCTGAAAGGGACCTTGGAGGTCTTCTAGTCCAGCCCTCTGCTCCAGCAGGAGATCCTATACCATTTCAGATAAGTTGACTGTTTTGTCTCTTCTTAAAAACCTCCAGTGATGGAGTGCCCATGATTTCTGGAGGCAAGCTGTTCCACTGGTTAATTGTCCTCACTGTTAGGAAGTTTCTCTTTAATTCCAGATTGCTTCTCCCTTTGATCAGTTTCCAACCATTGTTTCTTGTCCTGCCCTCTGGTGCTTTGGAGAATAATCTGACCAACTCTTCTTTGCGGGCAGCCCCTCAAATACTGGAATTCTGTTATCATGTCACCCCTAATTCTTCTTTTCTTTAGACTAGCCAGACCCAAAATCTGCAGCCATTCTTCATATGGTTTAGTCTCCAGGCCTTTGATCATCTCAGTGGTAACTAAAATTGGTTGCAGTATTCCAGGTGTGGTCTTAACTAAGGTTTTGTAAAGTGGCACTAATACTTCACGTGATCTTGATTCTATGCCTCTGTTTATACAACCCAGGATTGTACTAGCTTTTGGGGCGGCAGCTGCACGCTGCTGGTTCATATTCAAGTGACCGTCTGAACTGATTCCAAATTATCTGATCCCACTCTGATTCTCAGGGTCACCTTCCTTTTTTTGTTCTTCTGTCCAGGGTTGGTCCACAACATTTGGATGCACAAACTACAGTTTTCCTTAAAATGTGTTGTTACCTACTTTATGATTGTTCTGTAATATCCCTTTTTTTTTATCATAGACACTTCTGTGTGAGCAGGTGCCTTCAAGTCAATTCAACTAATTGGCCTAGTCCCTGCAGTGTTCTTGGCAAGTTTCCCAGAAGTGGATCACCATTGCCTGCTTCCTAGGGCTGAGAGAAAGTGACTGGCTCAAGGTCACCCAGTTGACTTTGTGCCTAAGACAGAATTAGAAGTCGCTTGGTGCCTTAACCACTACACCAAACTGCCTCTCCTATTTTGGAGGTTGTCGGTTTTTTAGTAGAAAAAGTTTGAATCAACACAGAACCAAGGTTAAAAACAAGTTTAACCAACTCCTTTACTTTATCCCCATATGAATTAGCCCACCAACCAAATCAGTTTTCCTCTGACACCATCCCAAACAAGCAGTCCTTTGGTTTTGGATTTGTTCACCACCCCTGAGTAAAATGTCCCTCAGTGTTCCCAGCTGGAGTAGTGCTTTTGGTGGAACAGTTTCTACCTTCTGAAGTGGAGGTACAGTAGCCCTTCACTGTAGAAAAGCACATGCTGGTCTGGGTGCAAAATACAATACTCCTCTATTTAACTTGTTTGATATACAATTATCCATTATTTCTTTCTGATTTTCTGGCTGGAACAGATGGAGGAGGCTGAAGAGCCTAGCTAGGATATGTTTTAGAAAATGGCTTCCTTTGCCGCATGGCTTTAAAACTGAAATGGAGGCAACTTTCCCAAGCTCAGGCATATGCTCACAGGGTTCACAGATAGAGCCGAAAAGGATGCTTCAGCTACAAAGGCTGCTGAGTGATCATATTCAGCAGTACCTGAATAAATCATGAATATCAGCACAGATGAGACGATCTTAAGAAGGCTGCATTTAGAAAGCCACTGTAAACCCTAAGAGAGAGGCCGTTGCTGGGGTACTATTAATGTTGCTATTCAAAGAGCAGCTCCAGCCAATTCAGTAATTCCTGCTGAGGCATTTGAGTTGCTGGCCGGATTCTCAAACAGAAATGGTTATAGGCTTCTGCTAGGAAAGGGAGAACAAGAAGGAAAGAGCCTCTTGTATGGAGACTCAGATTTTACTGATCTTAATATAAGTTACCCTCTTTACTGAGAGGGAAAAAAACCATTTATTTCCATACTCTGCTTCACTTGACTAACGTATACAAGACCTCAAATGCTATAGAAAAGAACATATCTAAAAAAAGGGAGTGGAAATTATTTGTCATGTATAAAAACCACCCAGATATTCTGTTCTCTGTACATACAGCATTTGTCCTCTTTTAGATTTTTCTGGTTTTTATCCTATTTTTGCCAGGGTCTCATGTGAATCTGAGTAAACAGGTAGACTATATACATATAAAAAGATGAAGTGCAGAAATAGTGCTGACATTTGACCAAATGACAGATTTCATTTCAGAAACAAAATAACTCAACATACAAATAATTGCTATTTTAGATTCAGTAACTATTTTACTCTTTTTGTAATTGGCAGCATGTCTTTAACATTGTTGTACAAGAATTCTGGCCTATTCCTCCATTACATGTTGCTTTTTCCATAATCCTACACAACATTTCCATGAGGTTTAGATCTGGAGTTTGCCTTGACCATTCCAAAATATTGAATTTGCCTCCTTCATCCATTTTGTTGTGAAGCTCCTTGTAAGTTTGTACCTTTGAGATCATTGCTTTGATTTATGAATTTGTTATGGTCTGCCAGCAGCCTGCGGAGACTGCAGCAGAGTCAGACAGTGGGGAGGAACATGGGCCAGCCCAGGAGTCTGGGGAGAAGCAAAGGGACAGGAACCTTTGCAGGAAGCAACTTTGTCCGTACTGGTCAGTTTGAAACCTGAAGCTCTGTGTTGAATTTGTGTTCTGTTTGGCCTTATATAACTAATTGGAAATTTAGACATTGGCAGCATTCCAAGGGAGATAAAGGTGCATGCTTATCAGACTTATCCTGAAGGACTTTGGAAGACTTCCATGGGACTATTTACAAACTGTTTGAGACTCATTATGAGCTGTGAATGACTAAAATTCACAGCCGTTGAAATAAAGAAAAAAGGGGTTTGGGACTAACATATGTTTGTTAGTGTCTCAATATGCCTTGGTCAGAACAGAATTTCAGCTTCAGCTAACAGAATAGTTAGGTGACGCTATCCTGTAAAATCCATACTTCCTTCAATGATGGCAGATCATCCAGAAAAATATCTGTCAACACATGACATTGTTATCTCCATACTTAATAGATTCTTATTTTAGAAAACAGTGTTTGGTTTCCCATGTACCCACTTTTGTTTCATGTGTTGACAGAACATTTCTGTGGAAGACGCTGTATATTTTGGCTAACTTGTTCTTTATCAGCAGTGGCTTTTTGACCCTTTTACTCTACTGAGCCCCATTTTCACCCAGTGAAAATTACTTGCATATTGGGTTGAGTCATTCACATTGACTTGAGTCAAGATAACAGTGATCTGGAGAACCATAGAGGTTCTCTTGCAATTCTTTGTGACTTACGAGGTGATTTTATGTTGCACGTTTGTGATATCAACAAGTTAATTGATCTTGGGAAGATTCACTATTGTCCCAGATCTCCAATTCAAGATTAAGTGTCTGATTGGTGAAGCCTTAATGAATGTGTAATCTGTTTCAGACTGATAGATATTGACTTTTGTTTTTAATGGAAGTCTTCAGAAAAATTATTTTGAGTAGGGTATAACATACCTCTAAAATCTGTGTAGTAAGAGTACCAGAGGGTCATAATTTGAAATGTTAATGGCAGGGCTACCTCAAATTAATTTTGATTGTGTCATGATGCACTCATACAACTGACTGGGTTGCTTCTTTATTTGAATTGTTTTAACTGAGGATAAGGAATTACTTTTTCACATTGTAACGTGTTGGGGGGCGGGGGGTGAGAGATGTCTTCCAGATGAGCTCTCATTTTTAGAAATCCCCAAACTAGATGTATCTCTATGTGTAATTTTGATCTGCATTTAATCAGGGCTTTTAGGATATGGTTCTTATGAGCCACGGTGGCTCAGTGGTTAGAATGCAGTACTGCAGGCTACTTCTGCTGATCACTGGCTGCCAGCAGTTTGGCAGTTCGGGTCTCACTAGGCTCAAGGTTAACGCAGCCTCCCATCCTTCTGAGGTTAGTAAAATGAGGACCCGGATTGTTGGGGACAATATGCTGACTCTATAAACCGCTTAGAGAGGGCTGTAAGAGCACTGTGAAGCGATATAGAAGTCTGAGTGCTATTGCTATACTTAAAATGTTGTTATTAAATTGGACTAAACCCTCCAAGATTTTTAAGCCTGTTGAATCTCCTTCTGCTAGCCACTGTAGTTAAATAAAACTCTTTCTTACTTGGTGACTTCTAATTTGAAAGGTTAATTACAAATGCCACATTCAATTTCTCCGCTACTCTTTTGTCCAAACTCACATTACTAATATCTTTCAATGAGATTCTAGTCTAAATCAACAGTCTTGGTTTCTCCTGTCAGTGAATTTTCCAGAAAAACTCAGTGATCTTAACAGTCAGAATATATCAGTAAAAATGAGAATTTAAACATGAGTTAATAATATTCTTTTCCTCTCCAGTTCTTTTTTTTTTTTTTTTTACTCCCCTAGCACTGTCTCTATAATGTTATCTTGCTTTTGGAGGGTTTCATCTTTCATTGTCTGTAACATGATTGATAAAATCTCTCACCATCACTCAGGAGAAATAAGTACATTTTATGGCAACCTGCCTTTGGCAAGGACTTTAGGGAGCAAGGTTCAGCGTATTCAGAGGATGACAGTTTAGGAAATGGTGGATTAGGATTTTTATTCAGAGTTTCAGGAGATCATACCATCTCTTCTATTTGAAGTCACTCCAGAATGAGTGTATAATACATAGTAACTCAACTACAAATACATTGTTAAATCAGATTATAAATACTGAAATATTAATTTTTCAGAGTAATACCAGCCATCTTATTTCCTTAAATCGAGCAATCTTCACTCCTAGGAAGAAGAGCCAGGAAGGTGTTGTATGCTGTGCATTAGTCTTATTTATGTGTCCAGATAGTGAAGCAGATTGGGTTTCACTCCGGATATGCTTTAGCATGGTGTTATGTTTGGGTTTTAACAACTCTCTTAGCCAAGTTCAAAGTTGAACCACCATGATAGTGTAGATTATTATTGGGATTTTCTGTGTGGTGCCGTGTAGGTGAAGTTTCAACAGTAACATGGTACAAGCCAACTTTAAGAGTTATCTTTGTGCCCAAGGAAGACTTGGGAATTATCCTCCTAGGAATTCATAGAAAATAACAGCACATGGCTGCAGATAAATTTACAGATGTGACCATCTGTTCAGGAAAAAAAGAAAAGGTGTGTTGGATGGTGGTGGTAATAGCACCATAGTGGCAAAAGGGAATGATAAGGAGCATTAACACCAATTAGCCTCCTAGTAAATGGCTATTTTATAACCCCAAGGCCCCAGAGCAGCTGTTCCTGTGACATTATCCCAGACATGCTGTTAACATTCCATATATACCTGAATTGAAAGTTTGCCGTGTAGGATGAAACGGGGTGATGAGCATAAACATTGTTTTATTCCCCAGTCTTGCCCAGTGAATGTCTCTGCCAGCAAGCAATTATGGGTAGTCCTCAACTTACGATCACAATGGAGCCCAAAAATTATGTTGTTAAGTGAGAAATGTGTTGAGAGAGTTTTGCCTCATTTTAATACTTTTCTTGCCACATTTGCTAAGTGAATCACTACAGTTGTTAAATTAGTAACACGGTTGTTAAGTGAACCTGGCAGAAGGTCGCAAAAGGTGATCACATGACCCCAGGACACTTCACGCATCATAAGTGTGAAAACTGGCCATAACTCACTTTTTTCAGTGAGTTTAACTTCAAACAGTCATTAAGCGAACTGTTTTAAGTCAAGGACTACCTGCATTAAAAGTTCCTTATGGGCTGACTTCAGTTGCTTAATCCTGTCTTTTCTTGCCTTCACAGGACTTCCTTATTCTACCACCTCTTTTGCTGTCCTATTTAGTGAGAAAATAAATACCTGAGTCCTCATGCCTGGATTAAATTAGCAGCAACACAAGGAAACCTCATTATAATGGTCAATTTGAGGAGAGGGTTTTGAATTAAATTTGAGGAGAGGGTTTTGAATTAAATTACTGAGGCAGTTTATAGGCAAGGGGTATAAATTGCTCTGTAATGATTAAATGAAGGAAAATTAATTTAACTGGCTTATCTGGAATATTCATTTGCAATGTATTTATCCCTTATTGGGGCGGGGGAAGGATCTTTGGATGGTAAATTGATCCATTGCGCTTGAAGTTGCTAAATGCAGGTTTGTTCAAATCAAGGCATCTTTGCATATAATTTTAGCCAAAAAAAAAAAATCGCAATGCAATAAATAGGAGTTTCAGATGCAAATCTGGATGTTTGTAGAAAAACAACTGACTTGGCACTAGATTTTTCTAGCACAACTTTGGCACTCATTCACAATATGCAGGTTCTTGACATGTTGCAGTAAACATTTCCTTAAATGGCATTGGAATCCAAGAAATAAAGTATCCTGGGGAATTTGGTACAACTGGTCATGTACTTAAAATCATTCAAAGCTGGGAATGTGCTTTTATATGGCCCCAGAATGTTTTTTTTTAAAAAAGATGAAATCTGAATTGTTTACCCTGTCCTGTTAAATGTCTTACAGAGAAAAAGAAGAGCAAAAATGTTGAGAGACTTGATGCAGATGGATCACAGAAGAAAAAGAAGAAAAAGAAGGTAGGAAAGAATATTCTTGTTTTGAACTGTCTGTGAAGATGCTCAGTCATCCAGGTCATGGTTGTCCCCAAAAGTGCTTTTTTTTTCAAGAGGCAACTGGACTTTCTGGTTTTTCTTTGAAGACATTTCCACTTCTCATCCAAGAAACTTCTTCAGCTCTGACTGGATGCTGGGGAATAGAAGGATTTATATTCCTTGTAGAACTCTGGTCATTTGCATTCTTTTAGAGAGTCATTGAGGCCACTTGGAGATTTATCTATGTCCTCAGGTTCACTTGAGTGGTACAAATAAGTGTAGAGCAGGGGGTGTCAAACTGGCAGCCGCAGATGTGTCATGTGTTGGCCACACCCACCTCCATTTTAGTGAAGGGGGGAAGTCGCAATATGTCATGTGACAACGCAAGTCTGACACCCCTGGTGTAGAACCTTCTTGGAACTGTTGAAAGGACTGTTATAGACTGGAGATAGATGACGTTGTATCCCTCTCCCTCTGTTGAGAGAGAGCTATTCAATTTTGACTTAGGTGGCCTCTTTGACCCCTCTTTCAAACCAGCGGTCCTCTCTGTCCAAAAGGTGGACTTTGCTGTCTTCAAAAGAGTGGCCTTTGCCTTTTAAATGAAGAGGGACCGCTGAATCTTGTCCTGATGGGTTTGTTCTCCTAGGTTATGCGATGCGTTTATGAAGCGGTTGTTTTGGTTCTCCAAGGTGCAGATCTGCACGTAGTTCACTGAGAAACGTTTTCAAAGAAAAACTAGGAAGTCCGGTTGCTTCTTGAAAAAGCACCTTTGATATATGTATCTGGTACAAATTGAACGCTTCTTATCAACCAGCACAAGATTGAGTGTGCAGAGGGGAAATCCCCCCCCACCATTAATTGGATTCGTTACAGTCCGGAACAGGTACATATTGAACGGGTCAGTAGACTTTGAGTAATTGGTCTCATCGTTTTGTATTTATCTGGTATATTTAGTTCAGTGAGTATAATAGAGCTACCCTTAGACTCATGGCCTTTTTTTCTTTAATGCTCCAAAACTGTTTTCAGAGCACAGGTGTACAATTTGAGGCCACACGTGGCCCCCAGAAAGTTCCCTAGGTTGGTTATTATTAATGTGATGGAAGAGAAAAACTGTTAAATGGAAGAGTAATTTTCTTACGCACTTCTGCACAAAAGCAGTGTTTCCAGGAGACTCCTTTGGGGGAAGAGGTGCTTTAGCCTAAGTCAGGGATCAGCAACCTGCGCCTCTGGAGTCGCATGTGGCTCTTTCTTCCCTCTGCTGTGGCTCCTTATCACTCAAAATATGTGTCACAACCGCCAATGTGCGACACCCACCAGCATGCGATTTAGTGAGCTTTTCAACCCCGGGTAGGGCAGCCATGGATAAATCCCAAAAAAGAAAAGTTTCAGAAGAAAACAGAATCTTTAATTCAACTACCTATGCTAGTTTTGTGGCCGCTCAGGAAATACTGAGGTGTGGGAAGGGTTTTTGTGGCTCCCAGTGTTTTCTTTTCTGTGGGAAACGGGTCCCAATGGCTCTCGATTGCCAACCCCTGGCCTAGGTAGTGGATTGGGTAATATATCAGGTGGGATACTGAAAAACATACCTCACTTGGAAATACAGACAAGGTCATAAATAAATCTTCTAATACAATCTAAAAGGTTTACTTCTTCTAGAGTTCAGTATTGGAAGGGATTAAACCAAATCAGGAAGGAAGTGACAGATTTTGTTGTTTTTGTATTTTAGAGGCCAAGAGTTCCTTAGTATGAAACATTCCATCTGTTCTTTTGCACGCATGCTGAATAAGACAAATTACACCCTCTTTGCTTTGCTTAGCTTTTACCGATCTTCCCGAAACTTCAGAACATATTTACTCAAAAGACACATTTCCCCAATGATGTATCTTACTTCAACACAAATGAAAGCCAAACTGTTCTTTTGAAACTGAGCTCTTGATTCCACTGAAGAATTGAGAAGTCTCTGTGGTGGGTGTTTTTTTTCCCCAAAACACAGTCTGTATTTCTTAGCATATTATTCATCTCTCTGTGTGTTGTTTATGTGTGAAAAGAAGAAATTGAAATCATTTGCTTTGTGATTTTTTTCAGAAAATGGATAACCTTCCAGAGGAAGCATGAACATGTAAGTATGCTGAGCCATCCCTGCCTATTATTTGTTAGATGAGCACTCCTTAATCTATTGCCATCCCTGTGCTCAGTTGGAACAAGAGGAGCTGTAGGTCTGTCAGGAGGTTATCAGTCATAGAAAGGCAATTACATGAAACTGACTTCAAAGTGAGTGAATGGGAAAGTTTTCCGTTTAGAATTTAACCATGAGTTTCACTTGTCTGCCAGCAGTGCTTAGAAGAGAACAAATAGAAGTAAAACTCTTGCAGAATAATTTTTCAAGTTGTAATAAAGTCAGCAAATCAGATAACAGAATAAACAGGAAGGGACCTTCTCGTTCAACTCCTTGCTCAAGCAAGAAACCCTATACCTGCAACTCTATAGACCAGTGTTGGCAAACCTTTTCGGCATCGAGTGCTGAAATGGGAGCGCGTGCATGAGCAGGGGAGTGCCAGAAACCGGAAAAGCAGCTCCTCGGCGCACATGCCCATGCCGGGAAGCTAAGCTTCCAGTTTCCAGCGTTCCCGTGCACGCGAAGACCAGCATGCGCGCTGGAACCAGAAGAGCAACGGGCGACGGCTGGCGTGCCCAGAGAGATGGCTCTGCGTGCCACAGGTTCGCCATCACAGCTATAGACAAATGGTTGTCCAATTTCTTTTTAAAAAACCTCCAGTGCTGGAGCATTCACAACTTCTGGAGGCAAAGTCGTTCCACTGATTAATTGTTCGAACTCTCAGGAAAATTTTCCTCGGTTCTAGTTTGCTTCTCTCCTTGATTAGTTTCCATCCGTTATTTCTTGTCCTGCCTTCAGGTGCTTTGGAGAACAGGTTGACACCCCGCCCTTCTTTGTGGCAGCCCCTGAGATATTGGAACACTGATCAGATCACCTTTAGTCCTTGTGAGATGCGGGAATGCATTTAATATATGGTGGAAGGGCTACGGATGCGGTGAAGGGGGCAAAGATAAAATGTGAGATGGGGACAGGATTTTGATTTTGTTGTAGATTTGGTTGAAATGAATCAACCTATTTTAGGACATACACAAATGTTTTCTGTTGTTTCCCACCTGTAAATATCAAGGAACTGCATAACTAAAATTTGTGGACACAATCAAGGGGGGGTTCTGGGAGAGAAACAAAGGGACTGAGGTCCATCTCCTGGAGGTATACCTTCAAAATTAAGCAGGATTGGGCTAGGTTAATATTTTGATGAGAAATCATAGAAATCCCATGACAATTACAATAATAGAGAGTAACTGTGGCTCAGGGTTGAATTGTGGAGTCCTCGGTACTCTTTGGGCTTGGTTGTTTGCTTGCAGACATTTCAATATTCAAGTCGGTAATATCAATGCCAGTGAATGTGGAGTTTGCTCCCTATTAATACACAGTACCTTACTCTACCAGTTTTAGTGGGGGTGTGGTCTTCTCCTTGATAGTTCCTTGATTAAGGGTATTGTTTCCTGCTTGATTGTTTACCTGGTGTTAATCCCTGCTTATCTGGATATTGGCTGCTGTGGAGAGGATGTGTTCTTATATTTTTCTTAGGGTTTTTATGGTTTCCTTTGAATGGTATGTAAATAAGGTTTATTTCCATGTGACTGTTCATGGTTGATTTGTCTGAGTGCCAAGCTTCCAGGAATTCTCTAAACATTTTTCAACTTGACTAGGCTTAGGATGTTCACAGTTTCCCAGCTGAAACTATGGTTGAGTCTGTCCATGTGTTGTGATATTAAGAAGTTTTCATTGTGTCTTCGGACTGCTAGTTGGTGTTCATGGATGTACTCTGCTAATATTCTGCCTGTCTGCCCTACATAGTGTGACTAGATGTTTTGGAGGGTTTTAGCTGGTTTGTGTTGGCCAAACTGGGCAATCATCCAGATTAGGAAGACAGACAAAATAAAGTCCAAAAGAAAACAGTGGCTAACTTTCTTTTTCATTGCCCAAAGAATAGCATGTACCATGTATATGAAACCACCTTGGTTGAAAGAAGAAAGCAATGGCAAATACACCTGTGACGTTGTCAGAAAATCTGCATGATTGTAATTATCAGGAGTTGAGCTGAAGCTTATCTTAGTTTTACTTTGTCTTTATTAGTTATGTTTACTAATGTATGGTTGTAATGTAGTAGAGTTTTAATTAATTTGATCGATGTCTTAGCATTGTAGACATCCTGTTTACATTAGATATTTGTAAATCAGATCTCTTCCTAGTCAGCTGAACTCCAGATATTTTTGACTTCTAATACCCCATAGTGCCCAACTTTGATCCCATATATGGAAGGCATTGAGCTGTTGTAAGGTGTATTACAGAAATTCTATGTATTCAGATCACTGAAATTCTATGTATTCATTCTATGTATTCAGATAGCTTTGAACTTGAGAACCTACTGATTTCATCAAGTTCTGCCTCTTGCTATTTTTATCTTTTTTTTTTAAGGGTCTTCCAGTACTTTCCATTTTAGGTAACTTCAAACAGAGATGAAAAAGAGAAATCTTTTCTGGATTTGCTGAATATCCAAATCTGTTTGAAACACTTCTTTTAATTGTTGAGAAGACCTGACAAAGTCTCATTTCAGGGCAAAATGATTGCCAAAATGTAAAGTAGAACAATTAAGTGTTTTTAAAGAATTTCAGAAATATCATTTATTTTCTCTCACCTCCCCATCACAGTCCTTTTCCTAATTTTGTCTTTTGTCTCCTCTCTGCAGTGGCTTTGTAATTCAACATGAAGAATGGAAGTACATTAATTAGAAGAGAATTATTCCTTTATATTTTTAAACAACAGAACCAAATGTCAGAGATTGAATTTAATTTATAACTATTTTTACTGATGACTTTTAAAGCTGAGAAACTGTGATTCAAGTGACCTGGATCTGGGCTTGGTAGAAGAATACAACTTGTATCATTAAGTGAAAGGATCTGGATGTCTGAAGAGATCTCTCAGAAGAGTCATGTGCAGAGAAAAAAGTTGGCTTTGTTTACTGAAAGATTTTTAAATTGCTGTTTCTCTTTCCTTTTTTCCTTTTCCTTGACACTTAAGAGTTATATTTTTAAAGAAACACCATATCCCCTCACTCCTGCTACTTTTTTTTTTTAAATCAACTTTTTATTTTCATTTTTAAGAAGGGACATCTTTTGTCTTTCATTATGTCCAGCATGTAGTAAATTGTATTGTCTCTGGATTGGCTTTCTGTCTCATCCTTCCTCTTTTTATTAATAAAAAGATAAAAGATTTTGACTGGAAAAATTAGATGTGTGTTTGTGTAAAACCTAAACAAGTGCACAATCTCTCCACCACACCTGAACATTGCTGATAATTTGGCAAATCTCTGATTTCATACTGAATATGCTCATGCATTTATGTTCACCTTTTTAATTTTGAGACATTCACGTTCCCAGGTCTCAGATTTTCATGGAACGTTTATGGAATCTCACTCTCTGTTCCTCCAATTTGTTAATGCTTAGTGGGGCTAAGAGGAGGTTTTGTATTTTGTAGTAGATATGGAAATGATTCTTAGTCATTCCATCACCTCCAGAGGGCCTCCCACTCTATCCCCATAGAGATTTCCAATTTCATACTCTCCACAGGCGTCTCTGAAATGTCTGAAGAGTAGAATAGAGGAAGTCAAGTAGTATCTATTCCAAAAACAGCCAGGCTGTGAAGAGCATCTAATATTCTGCATAAGAAGCAACTAGATTCTGCAATTTCTATCAAATAAAGTCATGTGTGTTTTTCATACCCAATTCTTCTTTTATTCAATCCAGTTTTGTACTAGAAGTGAGACTTGACAGCATTGTAGGAATTCTGGTAGGAAATTCCAACTTGATTATTCCAGGTAAAGGAGATTTTCCCTTTGCAACCTAACCAAGAAAGTCCCTGAAACATTAAGGTTCTTCCTGCCCCATTACCTTCATCATGACAGCATAGAACTTTGTGGTGTTGGGGCAAGTTATAATTAACTGACCTTGAAAACTATTATTATTATTATTTTGGATTTCTTTAACGTTTAGCTACAAAGGATGTAAAGAAGAAGCATTATTCCTACTTCCTCTCTGCATGACTCGTGGCCTAATTATATTGTCCTGAAGGAGTAGAATCCTAGAGAAAAACAATGCTTCTATCAAAAGCATACTTCTGTCACTCTAGGAAAGGGCAGGGAAACCTTTCCTGGAAGAGCAGGAGAACCACAGATCTCAAATACACGGTTTTTGCACACGGTGATTTTAGAAAATGACACAATGAAGGATGCATGTAAAACCTCAACTTCTTTTTTTAATGTCAAGTAGGATTGAAAACGTCTTGATTTGTCACCTACGCCAGAAACTAAATAAGAGAATGGAAGGGGAGAATTATTTCAGTTCCTTGGGGACTCGGTGGCTTCCGTTGTCACCAGTCATACGATGGGGGCGAGTCTCTTCTGCAATGATTCTGATCCTTTCTCTTGGGTTATATCCTCCATTCTGTGGGGATGAAGGACTGGTGTTTGGCACCTTGGTAAAAAGCCAATATTGAGCAGAGTTTCAAATGCCCCTTAATATCTACTTAAGTCCACAGGGTGAGCCGTCCAGAGTTGCCTCAAACTGGAAGAATGATGGCATATAAATTTAATAAATCGCAAAAAGCTTTGGAGATGCCTTCTCTAACTCTAGGGAAGCAGTTGATAAATCTGCACTTGTTTCCAATACTTCTTTGGCATATCCGGAGAATTACTTGGGAGGGGGCATCTCTTTTGTTAAGAACTTGGCAAGCATGAATAGCTAGAGGAAAACTTTCATGCTATTTGTTGGGTATGCAAGAGAGGGTTTTCTCCTGTGCTTGGAATCCTCTCACTCCATGGTTAGAAGCTTCTTCAATAAAGTGAAGCATGGAACGTTACTTCATGCTACAAGGTACATTATTTCAGTGTTATTCTGACAAGTGGGCTGCTTCCCATTTGCTTCACTCCTCCAAGAGATCCACTAGTCCTCACAACTAGTTATGCTGAAAAAGGTATTGGCTTATTAACTCC